AGCAGCTACAAGCAATCTTACTCCTGATTTCCGGGAGAGGCAATTATCGACGGACGCACCAAGAAAATGAAAGCATCATGTTAGGATTTCCCGTTTACATCTCTCCGGACGTGACAGCTCCAGAAGTACGGTCCAAGTCAAATCTCACAGGGACGGATTCTCGGGCAGGGCTGCAATCAAAAAAAGATTTTGAGGAAAAGAAGATAGCAGCAACTCGTTTCGATCGAGTGACCTCGGGGTTATGGGCCCCGCGCGCTCCCAGACTGCGCCATGCTGCTGTGTTAGATGATGAGAATTCAACCATATCAACATTTCTTTTTGCTGTGATCTGGCTGAAATTTATCTCGACCGTCGCTGTTACGTGCACGAAGCATGTTTATGCCAGCAGTCTTGATAATTAGCAATGTGGTATAATACTGTTACAAGTGTCCGATGTGGTCCATTTTGAATGATGATGAGTAATAGTCTGGAATTCTCTACATAGTCTAGACGGTCATTTGAGATGCATGGTTCGTTAGTCGGGAGATAGTACTACGTTTGCTCGCGAATGTCTTAATTAGTCTTCAAGCCATTAGTCAATGCAATTCAGGACTGGAGATGACAGGTCACGTACCTGAGGTATAGTCTGTCTCCTGCACACTTTTCCCGGACGATCTGCCACTGCCTATACGGGCCTGTGACTCCGCGCAGACAGTTGACAAGGATCCTCTGCCCCTCCAGGGTTCCATCGGCTTCGAGAATCCATTCGCCCTGCCAGCCCTGTCCCATCTCGTCATCCTGAGCTACTCGGCGCCAAACACGTGCAGTCCATGCAGACTTCTTCACGAGAGCATAGCCTAGCGGCGAATGGGGGCTGCGGACCTTCGCTGAGACGGTGACTAATGTCAGCTGAGGGATATCGTCGCATGCCGGAAACCCTCGAACGGTGAACAGGGGATCCGAGAGTGGCGGAATAATGTGAATGAAGTAGAACGGTGACGGAAGCATCGTAGGATCGCTCAGAGGGAGTGATTCTGGAGGACTATATGGGACAAGCCTGCGGCCATCGAATAGGAGCCATGTACTTCGAGAAACAATTTCTCTCGTCGCATCCGGCAAACTGCCGTCAGACACATCAGGACTCGCGGGAGGAACGTAGCCAAAGTTGCAGACGATGTCCCCGAGCGACAGATAGGGCCAGAGCCCAGCGTCATAGAGCTGATCCTCGCACTGGGCAATCGATCCTTCCTCGTCGTCCCGCTCCATTTCGGTGCACGGCACAAACACACGCAAAATAGGGGCACGGGTTCGTTGTGTGGCCAAACTTAGGTCGTGTGTTGACACGTCGCGTCGGATAGGCGACGATTCAACGGTCGAATCGCGTGAAAAGGGAGGAGAGGGGCTCGAGAGTGACGAAGAGCCGCTTGAAAGGTTAACCGAAGCCAGTCGCCGGTGGGCCCGTTCAAGTGGTTTCTTTCGTCCCCATTCGTCGTCCGAGAATGAGCCGGAGGCCCGCTGCAGCGCATGCCGCCAACCAGAGGTGTAGTGCCTCAGCGAGCGGGGCTCGGATGCCGGAGGCGGAGGAGCCTTTGAGCCTGTTCGAAAGATGGACAACCTGTTCGCAGGGCGAGAGAGACTACGTGTAACCAGCGAGGTGGTGTCCGATCGAACCGAGTCGGAGCTTTTGCGGGATCCGACGGAATTCTTTCGACCCCGGGACACCGGCGATGGTTCTGAGGCAGATTTATGGGACAAGGGGGGCGGAAAGTTGAGCTGTCGCAATCTCGGTTCGGGCCGGAGTCTAAGCGTGAGTTCATGTTGCTCGGGGGGTGGAGACAAGATCGAACTGTGCGCCAGCGACTGGAGTAGAAGCACGAAGCGGGTATGGACCAGCGCAAATGTCGTCAACTTCCGTGTTTCCTCCCGCTCAAGATCATCGACGTTGGGCAAGAGTCCGGAGACACATGTCAGGGCATGCATCGGAAACCGGTGCAGAGGCATTGCTCGAGAGATCACTGTCCACTTATCAGATCAATCCATCAGACAGAATGGGCGCGCACTGAGGGTATTCAATTCCGTCAACGCGATCGGCACCTTCGTCAACCGACGCGGGTCAGACACGCGCAAACATGCAGCGTAGTCAGGAACGAAGCGGGACAAGATCACGTCCCTGAGTTCAGGGCAATAGATGAAGTCCCGAATGTCGCGACATGTGTTGAAAAGAGCCCATGCAGTGGCCCAGCTAGAACACGCCAGAAGCATCGCCAGAACTCGGGGCTGTTTCGCCGCTCGGAGAAACGGAGGATGCCGGGGGTTCGCCGCGAGCGAAGAGAGGGTTCGCGTCCTCTGGCGAATGGGTGGAATGGGGCCCGAGGATTTAGCGCGAGGACGTGCTGTATGTTCAGCATGGGAGGAACGATGATCCAGTGGCGTCAATCGGTGGGGCAAAACTGGTGCCGTACTCCGTAGCGTTGAAACCATGTCGGTCGCGTCGTTCCCGAGGGTGGGGAAGAGAGCTGGGGGATGAGAAGGGAGTTCGACCGCCATCGCCTCTTGAAATGGCGGGGCTGGTGTACCAATCGAGTGGAGTGTCGTAATGGGGAATAGGACTCAGAAGCAGGAGTGCAGAAAGCTTGAATGCAGTGTAGGTTGAGCTAGGAGGTGGAAGCATTGGCACACATTTCCTCGGCCTGGCTCCAGGTGGGCTGGTAAGAGGCAGGTTCGGTAAAAAAGTGGCCGCATAGATCTGCGTGTTCGTGGCGAGCATTACGCGATCATTGATGTCATCCCGTGCAGAATTAAACTGTCCGGCGAGACCCGGCCCGCTCAGCTCCATGGAAAACACAGGTCGACACGAGGTTGGACTTGGAACGTTGATCGCCTGCGGACTTTGACAAATGTTCACGGGCTGAAGGACTCGTCGACATCGGTCTCCTTTAAAACTTCAAGCTTCAAACTTTCAAATGCTGCTCGGCGTTCCCTTCACTGGACTGGACAATCCACCGACTACGTCTGCTGAACTGGAAGTGAGCCTTCGATATGGAGACGACAGACTCACGCATGTGCATCTGTTGTTCCCCGCTTAGAGAGTTGACTAAGCCGCACTCCAAGGCACTCTGTCAACCGGCAAACCTGTTCAGCGCGAATGATTCTGAACGATGAGTGACTCCATCAAGTGACGATGCTGACCTGCGCGTGACATTGCTGTCACAACGCAAGCACCGTTTAGCCCACGGCCACAACGCACATTTGGAGTACTGTCATTTCACAATGGCAACCGTCCCAAACGAGGTTCGTTCGCTCTCCGCTGCTTCACATATCTCACACCTTGGCTCATCACTACCAGCATCTTGCAAGAGCAATCTTTGGTGGCTCGGACTCCGAGTTGTCTGATGAAGAGCAAGGTGATATTTCTAAAGACTTTCGGAGCCACACATTGCTAACGTACCCCAAGATAATCAGAGACAGCAACGCCGGAAATCGCCTTCCCAGCGCAAATACGACTATGGGTCGTCTGCGGACTCGGAAGATGATGCTGAGGAAAAGAAGAAAGTCATCAAAACCAAGAAACGATCGAAGACGAAAGCTGATGAGGAGAGACCCGCGCGCAAACGAAAGAGGAAACCGGAGCCCATAGACCTCAATGATTTACCACCCGAGCAAGGTGAGCCACTGATATTTCACGTAGCGTGCATATGCCGAACTTCACAGCCAGCAAAATTCGACTGGATATGCAAATCGAAGCTATCTTGAAACCAAAGAAGAGCAACCGCTCCAAGAAACGAAAAGGCGAGGAAGCGCTGGATAGTTTTGCGGACGACGAGGTGGCGCGGCTACGAGAGGCCATGATCAACGCTGCAGAAGAGGACATGAAAGCTAACGAGGCTAAGCAACCCGCTCTAGCCAAGCTCAAAATGCTGCCGGAAGCAATGGAGACTCTTCGCAAGCATGTACACTCTTTGTATCAACTCGCTGTCACGCTGATGTTCCTTAGATTCTCTCTGGCTCAGTCCATGATCGACAACAACCTTCTAGGAGCCGTCCGAAAGTGGCTTGAACCTCTGCCTGATCGTTCGCTGCCCGCTCTCAATATCCAGCGCGAATTTTTCCCCCTCATCAAGCGAATGGAGTTCATTGATACCGCCGTCTTGAAAGAATCGGGGCTAGCGCGAATTGTGTTATTCTACACGAAGTGCAAGCGCGTCACATTCGATATTGCGCGGATTGCGGAGGAACTGGTATCGACCTGGTCTAGGCCCATCATCAAGCGTTCTGCTTCGTATCGTGACCGAATCATTCCAACAGCTCAGCCGCTGGATGTAGATTCCTCTCAGCGCAATGTCGAGCGACTCAACAGTATCTTGGCAAAGGGACGACTGGCCGACAAAGATCGTGTGCGGAAGAACGCTGTTTCGATTCCTCGAAGCGAACTACCAAACTACACTGTTGCACCTAGCGCCAATGCGGGCATCATGCGCATGAACACCAGCGTCGATAATGACATTGAACGGCGCAAGAGGAACGCTGAAAGGATCAGAACTCTCACACGGAAGATTTCTGCTAAATAGGTGGATACTCTTCTCGTGCTTATCTCGATTGTACACTGTAACCTTTCACGCTTGTTTCTCAATCTCACAAATTGGTTTGACATTCTGCTAAAGCCGATCAGCTACTCTATACAGCGTGGAATGTACGTATGTATTCATGCTTTGCATTGACAGTTCAAGGGGTCGGAAACAAGGGACAGCAGCATCAGCACTGCTTTCATGTTCCGCTCAAAGCCCCTAAGTATCAATGTTCCACACGGTCCAATCGACCTTGTCCCCATCCAAGCCCCCATGTCTTGTCGTGGCCGTCGTACACCGACCTGCTTTTTCCTTGTTGCGGTAGTCGGGCTGACATGGCTGGCTGTTGTGAGACTGGGACGAAAGGTGTGTGTGTTAGACCGGTCCTCCTCCAGCGATGATGATCAGGCTTAGCCTTTGCATCCATTCCGACCTGACGACTATGGGGAAGTAACAGAGCATATTCCATTGCCTCTCAACATGGTCGAGGCAACTCCAACATCCTCCCGTTCCCCACCTTCTCCTTCGCAGACGGGTGTCGTTGTCGAAGGGGTCAAATACGACCCTCAGACAGCAGCAGTGGAGATCGAGTCTCTTCTATCAGAGACCGCTGCAAAATCCAGTGCCCATTACACGCATAACAGTGCAGCCCTTCGGACAATGGACATCTGCCTACAAGAACAGGAGTGCAGGTCGAATTCTAAATGTATGAGCTTTTCCGTCACTAGCGACGTCCACTCATCATCTCTAGTGATCATTTTTCTTGCCGAGGATCTCAGTGTCTCTCGCTTCAGAGGACATGAATATCTTGAGACCCGGTCCATCCTACGTGCTCTTGATGCGCTAGGCATCATCTACGTCTTCAGCCCCAACGATGTGCAGTGGGCGCAACGAGTTTATCGTCTCTTCCCTGACCAGGTCAAAGCCCTGGTCATGGATGCCAGAGATATCGAAGACTGTTTGAAGGATCGCATCAACTGTGTCCGGACTCCGAACAATCTACCAGGCATTCCTATATGGAAGATGTTGCACTGGAACAAAAGGCACATCATCGAGCGTGCCAATCCGCTCGGAGAACAATGGTCTCTTTCTCTCGATCGGGATCCTAGCAACAACAAAACATACGTCGGTTACAGCATGGAATCAAACTGTGCGAAGCAGCTTCCCCACTTCACGCCCGAAGAGCGCTTGAACCGTGTGTATATCCTGGCGACATTGGAGACTTACTTTGCACCGCATCACACGTCGTGGGATCCCGAATTCTTCGAGACGTTCGGTCGATCCAGTGGCATACCTTTTGTGGCTTCGCTGGATCCTGTCGAGGGCCGCTTGAAGAACTATCATCAAGCAGATGGGCTGCATCTGGTGCCTTCCAATCTGGTGGAGCTCGGCACACTATCATTCGTCCAGACCGTGGAAGAGATGGCCCGATCCAAGCTAATGCTTGGACTGTGGGATCCTCGAGAGTGAGTGGCGTCGCCACTCGTTTCAGCATCCCAGCTTATCGTGGATTGCAGGGAGTCTATAGTGCTCGAGAATCTGTGCATGGGTGTTCCATTCTTGAACCCAGTCGGAAACGTAGGTCGTCACTTGGATCTCACTGCTGCGGCTGACCCTTCCACAGTGGGATCATTCGAACCCTGAGGATCGCACACAATGGACAGTACAACACACATCTCTCATTGATGCAAATCCACCCTATGTATACCATGTCTTTGCTGGCGACCGAACTGGATTCGAGCGCGCAATCAACGATGCACTTAGTCATCCAATTGAAAGGTAAGTCGTGGTCGTGTTCTTATCTGTCCGTCTATCGACTGTTCTCGCAGCTATATTCCACCGTGGATGTCAGAAAGTGCTCTTGAGCAGAGACTGCTGAGAGATATCATCCACCGGGACTGGAAGGCTGAGGCGCAAGCTAGGATTTTAGCGGATAATAATTTGTTCGATGTACTGCTGTAATCATTTACCACTAAAACACATTCTTAGTGCCATGGATTCATTGTTCGCTGAAACGGAAAATATAGTATGCCCTCAACACTTGTTCAAGTCGTTCAACGCATTGAGTATTTATTGAACGAACGCTCATGACTCCCACACGTGCGCCGTGACTGGACGCGCGCGTGACCAATCATTTACCTCTGAAACCGTCATGTCGTCCGAGTCGTCAGTTTCTCCGTCACCAACGCGCATATCGACTTCCGAGTCTATGCCCCCGAGTAGCACGGCGCCATCGTCTCCTTTTCCTGCTCCGGAGTCTGAGGCGACTACAGAAGGTCTAGAAAGCGAAGTGAGACATCCATAGGCTATTGTTCTAGTCAACCTCACACTGCAATCTAGGGTAGAGTTGATGATGAGGCGGGAGTTGATCCATTAGAAGGCGAAGGTCTTTCTGAGGATAAATTGGCTCGCCTAGAGGCAATTCTTGAGCGGACAACGATGTACAGCGAGATTCTCAAAAAGCAGATGGACGAAGCACGCGTGGAGCACTTGTCCCACATGCGCCGCAAACAGGCCGAGAAAGCGAAGGAGAAAAATACCTCGCGTTCTTATCCAAGGAAGAGGAGACGCACAGACGAAGCCGAGGAAGCGGTCGTGTCTGCAGAGGAGGATGAGGACACCGGCGCTTTCCCACAACCAGCCCTTGTCACGGGCGCGACTCTGAAGGACTATCAGCTCGAAGGACTGCAGTGGATGGTCAGCTTGAACGCTCAAGGCATCTCCGGAATTCTAGGTGGGTCAGCACATCCGCGTATAGCCTGCTGCCTTGACTCATCTTGCCGCACGTTCCACAGCTGACGAGATGGGCTTGGGGAAAACTCTGCAAACGATTGCATTCGCTGCACATCTAAGGGAATTGGGCACCACCCGTCCGTTCCTTGTCGTATGCCCGCTGAGTGTGATGCACAATTGGGTTGATGAATTCAAGCGTTTTGCACCTAAAGTGCGCTTCCAGGATTCTAATACACGAACCATCTCATTTCCTATAGATCCCCGTCCTCATGTACCATGGGACCCCTGTTGAACGCGCTGAGCTTCGTCGCACTGCCATTCCATTACCTGACGGATGGGGAAACAATGACTCCAAGGCCACCCCTGTTGCTTCATCGTCGAAAGGGAAGAAGACTGCTGCCAGGGGTAAGGGTAAAGGCAAAGGCCGTGGCGCAGCTGCGAAAAAGCGGAAGAGAGGGGATCGCGACGACGTCGATGAACAGAAACTTTCCGAGGAACCTGAGCAGGATCCAGAGGAGGCCGCTATCGACGCCCACTTCAGAGCGTTTCCTGTTGTGATCACCACATACGAGCTGATCATGAAGGATCGATCGTCGTTGAGTGCCTATCCATGGGGGTATGCTATGCGTTTCTCGCTCCGTCGCTGCGCGCGCTCATGATGCTTAGGTATATTGTCGTTGATGAAGGTCATCGTTTGAAGAATATGCATTGTGCTCTCATCCGCGAGGTGAAGAAGTATGAAAGTGCTGGACGAATGATATTAACGGGCACGCCGTTGCATGTATGCACCACCCCTGAAATAGCTTGCGTCCTCCTACTTATCAACTTGGCAGAACAATCTCGCCGAACTGTGGTCTCTTCTCAATTTCATCTTGCCAGACATCTTTGACGACGTGGACTCGTTCCAAGAATGGTTCTCTCCCAATTTGTCGTCCGGCATGCCCTCTGAGCGGATGGGCGCTTTCATTGTGAAACTGCATGCCATTTTGAAGCCCTTCCTCTTACGACGAGTGAAAGCCGATGTTCTGGGCTCTGCTCTGCCTCCGAAGAAGTCGTATGTGTTGTACGCGAAGATGAGCAAGCTGCAACACGAAGCTTATGAGGCCATCGTCAGTGGAAATGTACGGGCATGGGTAACGGGGTCTACGAAGACCGTAGAACCGGCAAGCGTTGAGACGGAGAACGAGGAAGTCGGTCTCAGAACGAGGCAAGCTAAAGCTCGAGCGAGGCCCGACGGTCAAGATGATCTGGAGGAAGCCGAACGCCGGCGAGTCGCTGATGAGTTTGCCAGGCGTGGAATCGGTGCGTGTTTCCTTTGGTCTCGTTCTAAATGCTGATATGTTGTATGCAGCGAAGCAGTTGAGCAGCATGAACCTCCAGAATAAGATCATGCAACTCCGTAAAGTGTGCTCACACCCGTTCTTATTTTCGCGACCGGATGACGAAATCTGGACCCTGGGTCGTTCAGCACCTACGCAAGCTGAAATCGCTGCTCGCGAAGCAGAGCTGGTCGGCGGAAGTGGCAAGATGCTACTTCTTGATCGACTTCTCGTTGAACTGTTCCGTCGGGGCCATAAAGTATTACTTTTTAGCCAATTCACGACGATGCTTGATATTATAGAGGTTCGGTTTGCGCCTGTTCCATCTATGTCGCTGAAATTCTGGTCAGGACTGGGCCGTAGATATGAAGGGTTGGACGATATGCCGGATAGATGGATCCACACCTCCTCTAGAACGTCGAGAGCAGATGAATCTCTTTCAATCAGCTGGTGACAGACCTGATGCGCCTCGGCTGTTTCTGCTCAGCACCCGATCCGGTGGATTGGGTGTCAATTTGACCGCTGCAGATACTGTCATCTTCTACGACCAAGATTGGGTGCGTGACGCGTTCGGGTGTCTATCTGGGTAGCGCTCAAGAAACTTAGAACCCTCAAATGGACGCTCAGGCCCAGGACCGGGCGCATAGGATCGGACAAACAAGACCAGTGCTGATCTTCCGGCTCGTGACTGCACACAGCATCGAGGAGAAGATCATGGAGAAGGCTACTGAGAAGCGGAAACTAGAGGCTCTGGTGATTGCCAGAGGCAAATTCAAGCGGCCGACTGGAGCAGATGGAAGGCGGACGACCACAGCTGAAATGGCAGCCGATCTGCTTCGTCTTGAGCGAGAGGACGATGTGTTGCCATCGACTCTCCGTAGCGGGAAGGGCAACACGGCAATTCTGAGCGATGAAGATCTTGAGGCCTTGCTGGACCGCTCACCCGAAGTGTTTGTAGATCGTGGATCGGGCTGGACAGCGGGACAAGGCAGGACTGCTTTTGCTGTGTTTGATGGCCCAGCAGCAGATGATCCTGGAGCTTTAGCTGGAATGATGGCGGAGGAACCCGAAGAGGCCTGACATAGACAAAGCATTTGCTACTTGCTGAAATAATATCACCAATTGGTTCTGTACTCGGAACTGAGAACTTGTCACTGATCAATGATCAATGGATCACTCATCAGTTTGCCGAAAACGACAATGTCTACTGTAGAACTGCAGCCCTCAAAGCTTGGCACCAAGGAGCAGTAAGCGCGCCAACGCCTGCGAAGATCACCTCCAACCGATCTTCCAGTTGGGATCAAGTCTATGAAACAGAGCTGACCAACTTCCACGATCATGGAGATGAAGGAGAGATCTGGTGCGTCTACCAACTCTTACATCTTCAATCTGCTACTCAGAGCGTGTGAATCTCAGGTTTGGTGTTCAGAGCGTCGAAAAAATGGTTCAATGGGCCTTGGAATATGTCCCCCCAACACAAAACGCGTCAGTCCTTGAGGTGGGCAGCGGGAACGGAACGCTGCTGTTCGCTATGATCGAGGCAGGATACAACGGGTCAAATCTATGTGGTATTGATTACAGTGCTGGGGCAGTGGATCTGGCGCGTGCAGTTGCATCTGCAACAGATGGAGGAGAGACCGTGACGTTTGCGGAGTGCGATTTCCTGGTTGATGACCCGCCGCCACTGCGAGAGCAAGGCTGGGACTTGATACTCGACAAGGGGACCTACGACGCGATTGCGCTGAGCGAGAAAGATATGGATGGGAATGCTCCCATTGCGCGTTATCCTGCGCGAGTCGCGCATCTAATCAGATCCGGGGGAAGTTTCTTGATTACCTGTGAGTGCAACCACTCCATTCATTGAATGGTCGACTTGATGCTACGTCTAGCTTGCAACTTCACTGAGCAGGAGCTCCGGGCCAATTTTGAAACGCCTGAGACCGGTTTTGTGTATCAGTATGTATTCGTTTCGTCCGTCTATAAGATTATCATTCACCGTCTACACAGCTCTCGGATACAACACCGGACGTTTACATTTGGAGGTCAAAGCGGCAGTTCAACGTCGAGTGTAGCATTTGTAAAATCTTAACCTTTTCACTGGCATCCGAGTTGGTCCAGTTATTTTTGCTTGGGATGAATGGACCCATATGATTGTCTGCTTCTTGCAGGAGCTTTTTCGGCATCACGCTTCGATTGTATTGGCGGCAGTGCCCATCTATCAGTGTGGTTGGTAACGCGATCATCCATCAACGATCAGCAATCGCGGGGGCCCGGGACTGCTGACGAGTCCAGACAGTGTCTTGTCCCAGACCCTTCCGTCCATTCACCGACTAACGATCCCTGGTCGGGGCCTCAATCCTTGCCAGGCGCAAGGTCCTTTTTCATTTCCTCTTCGGCCTAGCCCGACCTTTTGATCATGAATCCGAGTACTATGGCTTCAACATCTGGTTCCAGTTCTCCGTCCGGCTCTTCGTCCAGCTCTCCTAGCGATTCGGAAATCAGGCCTCAGGCGGGCCCTTTGCCAACCAAACAGGGCGAAATAGGATGGTCGGAGGTGGCACTCACAGAGGCGGAGGAGGGACGGCGTAATTCCAGCGATGGTGCACCGGCCACAACCTTGCTTGTGCCTCATCCCGAAGAGAGATCTTCCAGTGACAGTGCGAACGGGAGCGTCGAGTCTTCTGCACCCGCCGTGCCCGCGACTGCTGCTAGTGCATCGACTGCCTCTCTTGCCACCACCGCGACCACTCCCAACTCCATCACGAAGCGGAAGAGACTGTTGGGATTTTTGAAGCCCAAGAAAGTCCCTGCGTTCTGGGGCTTCCGCCTTACTACCCTTCTCGCTTTCTTTGCTCAGCTTTTGCTTGTTGCGGGGATGATTGTTGCTTGGTACTTCACTGTCACGCGTGTCGGGCACTCCAACTCCAACTCTAGCCCCAACCCGAACCCCAACCCCGGTTTCAATGGCCCCCAGACCCAAAATCAAAACCAGGACAGTCAACCTGTGCTTGGAAATGGGTCCTCGGCTATCTTCATCCACGTCGTCTTCGGTGTGGCGGTACTCGTGCAGCTGCTGTTCATCGAGCGTCGAGTTTTCCGTCTGCGAGCAGAGCGATACAGTTACCTGCACCCCGGAGAGATGCTTCCGAGTGCGCGGCGGCGGGCGATGACTGATCCGTCTATTGGTCTCTCGCCCTGGAACCGCCCTCCCTTGCCTACATATGCAGCTGCGCTCGCGCAAAGCGGTGCCGGAACAGGCGATGCCGAAGATCATCTGATCGCAGTTGCACCTCCACCGGCCTATGGTAACACCCGCGGCAGCACATTCCTCCTGTCCGGCTTCCTCAGCGACAATCTACGGGCACAACGGCCTGTTTCCCAGATCACCGAAGCTAGCCGGCGCGGATCCGCTTTGTCGGCGCGGTCGATGACAGAACAGCGCCGGTCACGACCTGTCAGCTACAAAACCGTCGACGGCGACTGGGAGGAAGCACAGGATGCTTCGCGAGCTCGGATCCTCGAAGACACTTTGACCACGCTCGAACGCCCTTCCCCGGCTGTCGTCCGGTAGAGTTGGAAAGACATTGTTCTCGAGAATGACGAGCCTGTTGTACGTAATACTGGACAGTACTCTGCGTTCATACCCGTATCAATAGTTATTGTACATCTTGTCGATAACGGCCACTCTTTGTGCCCTTTTGTCATCTTTCAGTCACAGACGGAAGGCGAAGTGTGACAGTTTCTGATCGTCAGTCAGTGAATGAAGAACTGACTATCGCTGCAATTCGCGTACATCTGGAGCGAAATTCAAAGAAGTCTGTCTGCGCTTGCACATTACTAGGCGGTGGTGTCGACGGAAGAAGTACTTGATACAGAATCGCGTTAGACGAATTCGAGGCTGTAGCATCTGCAATAGGGAACTGAGAGGCAGCTTGAGCGACTTGTGGGACATCAGAATAGAAAGCCGCAAGAGTTGGACTAAGCAGCTGGGCGTTGGTGATTGAAGGAGGAGGGGTTGACGAAAATAAGTTTCTCATCAAGCTTTTAGGCGCGAGGGCGTCACTCCTAGTCGATCGACGTGCCTTGGGTCGCCTTTGCTTGCTCTTTGTATTGACTTGGCTTTGAGAAACAGCGCGCGAGATCTCGTACAGTTGCCCGAGTAGAGATCCAAGAGGTTTCATGGAGGCGTTGCTGTTCGTAGCTCGAAACGGATCGGCAGAGGTGTCAGAGTTAGCTGACTCGATGTTTGAGACAGAACTGGTATTATCATGATCCTCATTGGATGCCAAAACTGCGTCGGATGGGAGACCATTTCCGCGTGCAAGTAAACCGTTCGAGGGCTGTTGAGATGAGACGGTGGGAGATTCTGACTGATAATGAGTTGCAACTTTGACTGAGGATGGCTTGCTGATAGACCGGAGATCGAGTGGGATCCGCCCAGTTTGAGAGACTGGAAGAGGGTCAAGTAACGGCTCACGTGTTCCAGACCTATCGACACTTTTCGACACCCCGGACATGTGACAACACGCATACACGCACCTCAGGCGAGAGTAAGATCGTTCAGCCTCTGCATGAGAAATTAGGTTGAGGGGCGCATACACGAAAGGGCCTGAGGATCTGGCCGCCGGAGGAACTTTGCGAACTTTGCGATTTGCATTGTTAGACGGGAGTCTAAGTTTGGAACGCCATTCTGTCGGCGTATTGAGTTGCTGGCACGGTGCCAAGGATCGGTCCAGAAAAGCGCTTCCTCGAGCACAAGGAAATGAGTTGTGACGAGGAAGCCGTGTGCTTTTCGTGTCTATCAGTTTTCGCGGGCGCTTCGGGGGTAGGATCTTCATGGGAGAAGGTGGTCTATTGAAAACGAGCGATGTTCGCTGCGGTGTTTCGTCGAGCAAAAAATCATCAGGATCGACATCGGCGATCAAAGCAGCCGTGAGGAGACGAGACTTCAGAGGTTTGCGTTGTAGGAGTTTCCGCTTGCGAGGGGGCTCTGTACCGTAGTTCTCTTCAAGTCTGACTTGGCTCGTATCAGTCTTCTCGTCATGTACCATAGTCCGTTTATTCTTTTTGTGATAGGTGTTCTTGGGAGGTGGGTGAATGTGCTTCAAGAATTCATCGACAGTCAAATAGTCTGTTGAAGAGGTCTCCAGTTCGTCCACCTCCGGACACGATGAGTCTGTCGGATCTGAGCTATTTTCCAAGACTGCGATCGGGGGAATGTTCATCTGTGATGCGGATGGCGGAGTCGGGGAACTTGGTGGAAAGTAGAAGCCAAGGCACGGGTCCGCGGCGCGCCGCATACGTTTCCTTCGGTTACTGCTCTGTAATGGGGACATAGTGTGGGATTGAGGAAAGGATGGGAGAAGCAAGGACATTTCACGCACCATGATTGAATGCACCCCTTCGCTATCTCGCGCAAATCTCGCCGAGTTGTCGAAGAAACGCGAAAGTGACTGTCGAACAAGCTTACGGAGAACTGATCAAGAGATAAAAGCAGATGCAACCGCGATAAGATTATCAAGCCTTAGTCACAGTCAACCATGTCATCTCGACCTCTGCGTGTTGGATACGGTGAGTACAATGAGAGAAATCATCTGAAGTCTGTTTACTGACTTCTAATGAAGTCCGCGAGCACTTCTCCACGCCGCTGTTGCAACTGAATGATGTGGACAAGAACGAAACATTCACCCTCGTCGAGTGCCCCAGTGCGTCTGCGCGCCTGCCATATTCTCACTTGCAACTGAGCGTATTGTGCAGGCGGTACAGGGCAACTGATACAGCGTCTCACCAACGACGAGATCGATGTCGCAATGTGCGTTTAACCCAAAAGTCATACCTACTACAGGACCTACGATCGACCGCAGCGCTCTCACCGATCCTCTGATCTCCGGCATCGCGAAGGGTTCCACAGCTTACAAGCTTGTTGGAAGCTACGTATCTACACCACTGAACTGGTGCGTTGCCTCGGAGTTAGGTCGCTCACGACTCGATCTCACTGAGCGCCAGGGCTGTCATCACGGGCAAAGACACCAAGTACAACTCCATCACAGACCTTAAGGACACGACCATCGGTATCTCGCGTCTCGGCAGCGGGAGTCAGACGATGGCGTATGTGATGGCCATGCAGCAGGGATGGCCGACGGATGATCTGCAGTTCAAGAGTACGCGCGCTTCCGTGTTTTGATCGGACCTAGTGACCTTGGAGCAGTCAACAACGACATTCACGGGCTCATTGACTCGGTGAACGATGGAACGACGAGTGCCTTCATGTGGGAGTGGTTTACGACCAAGCCTTGGGTTGACCGGGGCGAAGCCCGTTTCGTACGTCGCCTTTTTGACTCTTCTCGACTGGTAATTGACCAGCCAACCATTCACGCAGATTGGGTCTGTCCCCACCCCGTGGGCGTCGTGGCTAATCGCTGCGCATCCGTCACCGACGCGGGCTCCGGCAGAAGCCCTTCGCACTTTTTTGACTCGGCTTTCGGACTTCGTTCGGGATTTCCACTCGGAATCCAACCGCGCAGGTCCCAATGTGGAGGTTATCAAGGCCAAGTTCGGATACGGAGAGGAGGACATCAATGTGAGGTCAGGCCACCAAACACAGTATCGTTGGATTCGATCCGTCTCTGCAGGCATGGATGAAGACTGTCGGATATCCGGGGGACTGTCTGGCCATTCCCGCAGACGTCATCAAACATACACTCGAGTAAGCTTTCCACGGCTACGACCGCGCAAGTTTTTGACATGACATTCAGTGTGCTGGAAAAGGCAGGGTTTGTCACGGCGCCCGCAGGCGGTTTCCAAATCAAAGACTTTGTGAACGAGGAAATCGCCAAATTGACTTGAAGTAGGCGAGAACTGTAGAAAGCAGAATTGAATTCGGTCACGTGTGTATCTGGAACGAACCCTCTGTGAAGTGGTGTGATGCGACCGCAACTTCCATTAGAAGTCCTTTCCATGTAGAGTTTCTACTTCTTCTAACGTCGCTTACTGGAACTCACACAGTTTGCTTCGAATCAGATACGCGATGCAGCTGGAGCTTGCCCCTCACGGATGGAATCTTTTGTGATGAGTCGATACATAATGAGACGAATCTGGATCAAACTGAGAGACCTCAAGACTGCAAGATACAAACCGGGATTACGTGCGAGATAGCTAGGATGGATTTCGGCCGTGTGGCCAATCGGGACTTTTCAGCGTCTCAGCAACGCCGGGCGAAGCGGCATGGGGGTGTAAGGCCCAGGTCCGGCCATTAAATGAGTCCTGTTAGCGGCTGCCGTGGCTTTTCGATGTCTAGGAGAAACTGGGGCTTGAGGCGGCTAGCAGTTTCGTTATCGTATACTCTACCGTTCATCCGCGTCCTCATCAACACGTGAATGGCTCATGTGACCGCGACGGTGGGACTTGAGTACTTGAGTGACCGACTGTGACGAATGAAACTACACCACTGACCTGCTTGCTTTACCAAGTACCGTACGCGTTCCTCTATCCATTCACTTCTTGAGTCAGAGGATGCCCTCCTCTGTGGGATCACCGAACCCTACCGAGCCCTGGAGCTTCTTTCAATAACTGTGATTGCACCCGAGAACACACAGCGGGTACATCAATCTGCTCACAAGGCCGTCTTTTCCCGAGACGATGGCACTCCGTGCTCCGTGCGCCCAACTCCTAGGTACTGCTCTCGGCTCCGATGGAACTGGTAGTCTCGAGCCCCCGGTGTCTTTGGAGGCTCGTGGTGCTCATCCGATCTTCACTGGGGCTTCTGGGAAGCCTCGACACGATACGCGTTGGAATCCAGCCCTGGCGTCCGAATGGGTATGTCGTTCTATCGAACAGGCAGGGAACACGACGTGCATACTATCTATCACATTTCGCTCCTTCCCCTTTCGAAACGGACCGCCGCGTTCCGCTGGATTGATGAGACGATAACCTAGGTCGCACAAGCGGCCCCACATATCACTCTTCTCAATCAAATGGGAGTATCTGCGTATAAATGGGCTCGCCGCATCGCCCCTTCTCGGAGAAAGTGCAATGTTCTCATTCGCAACTAGTGCATTGCTGCTTGCTGCTGCTGGGTCCGCCCAGGCCTCGCGTGGGTTGTCTCCTGTAATTCTGTCTACGCAGTTCACAAGCCTGACGACGTTTCCTCTGTTCCACCACAACAGTCGCGCCGAAGAAATTCCTGCCCATTCCGCTCGGTGGAATTCGTGCGACGGGATGGCTGCAAGACCAGTTGATGGTCCAGACGAACGGTCTCGCGGGCCACGAGCACGAATTCTACCACTAGTGCGTCTCCTGCCGTATGCCAGGATCTGTTTATGCCTGCCCAACCCCCTCCAGCGTCTCGCAGACTGACTGGATGGGTGGCAATTCCTACTACTCGAGTCTCGAAGAGGGTCGGTCTCAATCTCTGCCGCAGAGACCAGCTTGATTCAATGCCGGGCAGCCGGTAGCTACTGGTTCAACGCGATGGTCCCGAACGGTTTCCTGGCGAACCACGATGCCATCAACGCCAGAACGTCCGCCTTCCTGTCGTATGTCCTCGACACGCAGGATGCGTCCGGCTGGCTGGGTCCCGAGGTCAACACCAACAAACCGCGCTACCTCTGGGGCCGGTGCGTCTCATCTTCGAGACTCGCGGCTCGACTGCTGATCGGATATCATCCAGCTACCCGTTCTTCTTCGGTGCCATCCAGATGACCGAGATCCACCCGGAGCTCACCGCTCCGGTCGTCGACGCGCTGTACAATTTCACGAGCCTGGCCAACACCATGCTGCACAGCGGCAACAACACGGGCGTCGAGATCTGGACCGCGACTCGCTGGTATGATTGGCATCTTATCTGGTCGTCCTCCTTATCTAACGATATCAGGGAGGATTTCGTGATGGTCCTGCAGTGGTGCGTCGCGCATGGACTGATAGTTCGATCGCGCTGAGACTTGCTCGTAGGCTGTACGATTATCATCCCAAGGACGCAGCCAGCCAGGCGCTCCTGATCGATACAATGGCGCAGCTGAAGTACACCGGGGTACCCTGGGAGAAGGTGTTTCTGCCAGAGGTATGATCTACGGCCTCTCATTATTCGCTTACCGATCGCGAGAATTCTAGTATTTCCCCACCTCGGCTGGCGAGTCTGAGTCGTATAATCCATTCTGATGCAGACCACTCACACTTTCCACAGTGGAAAACACGCCCAACCCGCTTCCTGTTCTGACAGTCAGTGTTCACTCCATGGTATCCCTAACGCCTGAAACTGATTCTGATGCAAGTGGCACGGTGTCAATATGGCAGAAGGACTGAAGGCACTACCCGCCACGTACCGATTCACTAAGAATCAATCGGGTCGGTACTCCCCTCAGCACCGAGATCTCTGATGATGATGAACGAGTCAGATTTGGATGTTGCCAGCAAGGGCTGGGATCTTCTCTTCCAGTACCACGGCCGACCTTCCGGGATCTTCAATGCTGACGAGTATCTGGCTGGTTTGGAGGCCATCCGTGGGTGAGCGTTGTCCGCAGTACATTGAAATCTTACACTGACGTGACGCAGGACCGAGCTCTGCGTTGTCGTCGAGACCATGTTCTCCGGCTCCTACTTGTACCAGGTCATCGGAGACCCCAAGTTCATCGACCGGGTATGCCAGAAACTCCAGCCAAAGCTTGATCCCCTTACTCATGAACGCTTGGTATAGGTTGAGCGGATCGCGTACAATGCGCTTCCTGCGACACTTACGGGAGGTAGGTTGAGTGCCATGTCATTTTTAATCCATTTATCGAGCTGTCATAGATATGTGGAACAGACAGTACCTACAGCAGCAGAACCAGATCTTTGCCGGAAACATGAGCCAGAACCCATTTGCCGTGGACGGACCGTACTCGAACGTGTTTGGCCTCGAGCCCAACTACCCGTGAGGCCGGCTCTTTTGGTGTTCTGTAGGCCGTGGATATCTGATGCGATCCAGATGCTGCACGGTCAACCACCCCCAAGGATGGCCCAAGTTCATCACAAAGTGCGTTGAATCTCGAGCACGAGGTCTTTCAGTTGAAGTCCTCAAGTTCGTTCGCGACGACGCCGGACATGAAGTCGCTGGTCCACACCTACCTTGGCCCATTCTCTACTTCGATCACCCTCGCGCCGTGTGATTATGCTCCGTTCTATACACGCGATCTGCTCGCTGACACCGCACCCAGCCAACCCAGTCACCGTCAACGTGGACACGTGAGTTTTCCTTCGCAGTGTGCTCGCCGGATTCAGCTGATCTGCTTTTAGCATGTACCCGTTCAGCGACACGCTGACCACGACCATCACTGCGAAATCGCCCTTCACATACTACGTCCGCATCCCCAGCTGGGTCGTCAAAGGCACCATCGCCGTGGACGGCGGCAAGCCCGCCGCCGTTTCACCGAAGCAGGGTCTGCACGCCCTCAAAGTGAAAGCTGGCACCACCAAATTCGTCTTGAATCTGCCTGCTCCCATCACCATCGGTGCGTCTGGCCGCGGCATAAGAGCAGACATCACCTGAAAAACGATCCACAAGAGTCGCGCCCGCACGGTTCCGTTGCTGTCCACAGGGGGCCTCTCAACTATGCCTTTGACAGTGCGTTCAGGCTTCCGTCTGTTCCTACCGCTCACCCTCTGCCCAGTCCCCCGGCGCACGACTATTCTGGCGAACAACACGGCCCAGGCCAAGGCGCAGGACTTTGAATTCGACGCCACTGCAGCCTGGCAGTACGCGATCGATCCGAGCAGCCTCAAGTTCGCGTCGAAGCCGCCTGCGTCCGGAGTGCTGCCCTCCCCGATCTTCGACTCGGGTTTGACCCCGCTCAGCATCACCGCCACAGCGTGTCTCGTCGACTGGGCCATCGAGGGCCCGACGTTCGCCGCCAGCCCCCCGACGAACCCGCCCTGCGTGGGAAACAAGACCACCATCACGCTGACTCCATACGGGGTGAGTTATCTTATCTTAATCTCGTCAGACCCCAGAATAACGGGTGTTCCAGTCAACCAAACTCAGAATCAGCGAGTTCCCTGTGTTTGTCTAGTAATGTACGCCGCATAGATACATGGAATGTATCAGCCAGTCAGGCTGCAATTGCCTTCATAAATGATCAGTCCCTCCGTGTCCTGTCGGTAAAGCTGCAGACACATCAACACAGCGACAACACAAACTGCGAGCATCACAACCCGCAGGGCTTCGGTGGGCGTCATTCGGCAACCTTTCGCTCCCAGGCCGTGCGCCATATCCCTACCGCCAGACTGCACCGCTTGCACGGGTCTTGAAAAGGTGAACAGATCGCCTCGGTAGAACATACTAATGGACTTGCTGATAAGCTACTCCGCTTCGTCTTCTGTCGAGTTTGTTGCTTTGGGTTTGCTTTGCCTTTCGGGTTCGATGATTGTCGCGCTTTGACGTTCCCAGTGACAGCAGCAGCATCAGCAGTTTGACTCAATCGTTCGCCTTGGTTCCCTGTCACTTGCTGAATCGCGCGTTTCTTGGCTGGTGGTCGGGACGGCGAGACTTCATTTTTGATCTGGCCTTTGCGCCGCTTGCAAGTCATAGCAGAGAGAGAGAGAGAGAGTAGGAACGCTGATCAACCCCGACAAAGCAAGCCTCTCTATGGTGCCGGGCGCTTAGTCACCGCCTCTTTTGTACAACCGATTCAGTGTGTGACAGTGTGACCGGATTTCTTATTCCTCTTGTAAAAGTACTCAGTTCAATGTCCTCTACAATCTCCCAAGACAGAATTTGCTAAAAGTCCCTTGGGGCCAAGAAATAAATTCTCACGTTTCCCGATTTGGCCACCTTCCTTATTTGGAAGGGTATTGAGCGCAGGAATTGTATTTACGCGTCAAATGTCCTAGCTACTGTCTCTGGAACGCGACGGTGCGACTTGTACTTCTTTGAACCAAATTGTAGTAGGTAAAGATTGTTATAAATCTGGTATTCAAAAAAAATTCCGACTCCGGACTGATTTGGCCGCTTGTACAAAAGAGGCGGTGACTAAGCGCCCGGCACCATAGAGGTACCGCGCACAAACGGCACGAGAAGACCGGTCAACCACTCCGCCAAGCAGTCCTCGCCCAGCTCCTCCGACACCAGAGCCGCGAAGATCAGAAACGCGCGGCTTGCTTCCCCCCTTTGTGTATCTGTCCCCAGAGCATGGGGTGTGAGGAGCCCCATCGCGTACATGATGTATGCGGGCGTATCGTTATAAAGGACGCTATCGCGGAAAATCTCGAGGCACTGTATGGTTATTATCTATCATCCTTGAGATGTCGGGCAGCCAGCCAGTCGTCGCGAGGTGATGCAACTTGCAAGGAGGTGGAAGAGAGGAACTCAGGGACTGGTCGGACAGAAACGTCCCGCTCGCAGGCGAGAAAGTAGGCCTAGAGCGGGCGTAGAGAGCAAATAACCCGTCTGAGCTTCTCGCGGACAAGTCTCTTGCCGAGGCTGCGAGGGTCAAGTCCCAGAGCTGCGAGGAAAGAGGAGGGCGTTGGACGTTAAGCTGAGCACTATAGAAGGACTTCTTGACTAGAGTTCCGATGTTTTACGGATGCATTGGACGTAGTGAACAAAGCAGTCGAGCTCTGGGTGTTGGATGTCACACGCAAGGTCACACTTTGACGCTACTATAATGCTCAGTCTACATAATGGTTGGTCGCTGCCGATCGATCCTGAAACCCAGAGAGAATAAAGCCCTAACCAGAGTCTAGATATATACCGAGGAGCCGACAAGACCCACAACGGTCGAGTGAGCGTCTTGAAACGCGGTCACATGACATCGAGCAGAGAGTTGGTGTGCGACGCGCTCATGTTGACACCCTGCAGTCGAACGTGAAACGTCATCGAGTAGAACCAAAAATCGACTAACCATGGTGATGTAAGCCACCAGGCCCTGGGAGATCACACTGCCGAGGAGATGTGTTTTAAAGACGGGATTGTATCCGTTCCGGCTTGCGTCTTCGAAGATATGGAACGAGTCGTCCCAGTTCCGAGTGCGTCCGAGTGTGTTGCGGATGGGGTTGTCAGTATATGGATGCATCTGAATAGTCAGCTAGGACATGCGGCGAGGGAGACAACCACACCTTGTCCACGACCACGTTGACATCATCCTCGAAAAAGAACTGCCCGACATGCGCAAGACGGCCGGGTGCGAACATGCCGTTCTCATGGACAACCGTCCACTCGGGAAACACCTTCACATGGACGTGAGTCGCGCGATCTTGGTAGTAGCCGGGGAATATTGCTGATGGAGCGTTACGTTCGAGGGCTGGGAGGCAAGGAGACCGAATGCAAACATGTAAACTGGGCAACACCATTCTGATCCGTGGGCCATGCCCCGCGGAGCCACGTTTCGGTGGGCTGCGTCCGCGGGATTGCGCCGGGCATGTCGCTATAGCTCCTGCTGCCGACGGGATCGGGGTGGCCAGAATAGGAACCCGTTGCATTGGCCAACCAGATGTCTACAAGCACGTCCGGGACGGGTTGACATGTCTCAACATCGATAACACCGATATCAAGCAACTTTGGCGGAGCAGGTCAGAGCTGATCCGGCAACGTTGGTCGAGTAAACAAACACACCAGCAGCAATCCATCCTGCATCTCGGCGATGTTCTGACGAATAGGGTGTCCTTGGACGTGGTAGTACGGCCCGGAAGTCACTTCCGGAGCTTCACGCACGCATTGAGACCAATTGACGCGCGTAAACGAGACACCCACTGAGAATACACGTGTTGTTCTGGATATCCTTATCCTCCACTGCCTGGCAACTCAACGAACTCTCCTCTGGCGAACCGATCTGTAGTGGATCCTGCGCAAACGATTCGTAGTCGTCTATCCCGGTGGGGTATCCAGCTGAACGGGCGAGTGCCTTCCGCGCGAAAGCGCGCTTGCGGCCAGTGGTGTAGGAGCCTATAGTGGGTGCACACTAGTGTGGCCGGGTAAGCAGAACATATTATCCACGGAGGACTCACGACAAGTGCCGCGTCGCGCAAAGAGCTTTCCACGGCCTTTTCCTGGGCAGTCGTCGCTTGCTTGTGGGCAACGGCCACAGCTATCAGAGGCAGTATGGTTAAAAGGTGCATGGGATGAATAGAAGAAGATGCACCTTAGGGAGCTCGGGTCGCTCGCTAAATACTGATAATTTCATTTATATTGATACGAACTGACCTGGAAGCGGTGACTACCAGCAGGCACTAGACCCGGCCTCAATTCAGAGGCAAATCGTTCGAAGACTTCGATCAGTGCCGTAGCAAAACCCAGATTGGTTGAACGCTGCCGTGAAGGTGTCGCCTATGTATAGCAAGCTGAAGCTAACCAACCAACTCAATCTCACGAGTAGCTTTTACACAACACCGGTATGGATGCGGGCGCAGATGTTATTGGAAGCCGAGGAGAAAAGGGGCACTTCGGTCGGCTCGAAGCGTCTGGCAGCGAGAGAGAAGTCGAGCTGAGTAGCGCTGATGAATTCATCTGGCTTGGGGCGCTGGCAAGAGATGCAGGGCGGCTTTGACTCGGCCGCAAGCGCCTCTCCACCTTAAGCTGAGGACGGAAGCGAACTCGACGGTGTTTGAAGGGAAATTAAACGAGCTGCACGGCATTTACGAGGACGCGAGTTGGTGGTCTACATTTGACGTCTCGTTGGGCTGGTGACGCGGAGCAAAAGAGCGCACGGAGTAGAGGTGACACACCATGGCACCGCAGTGTTCAATCTCACATGTCCTCATTCTTGTTGTCCGCCATCTGCCGCGTCGCGTACGACAGAGGCTGTCCGTCGGGGAAGAAGCTATCTGAGTTCTGAAGTCAATAATATCGGTAGCGGCCAGCTTGACTCTTGGCTGGGACAGTAGTTTGCACAATGCACATGTGAAAGAGAGCATTGCGTCGAGAAGGTGGCGCGAGCTGAGGGCGGTCACCGAGACTGAACAGTGTATCTCGCGGGTTAGTCTTATCCGCATATTGGATTTGACCATGCACATCAGGAACGACAGCGGATACTGTAGTCGAAGATGGTAGTGCAGTCATCCTGGTTTGTGAGGTGGCTGTGTGAAGGAAACTCATTCAGGCAAGGCACCGGCGGGTGATTTGCGGCTGCGGTACGAGCTCCGGGATGATTCCAGGGCCAGAGACTCGTGGTTCGAAATGAGAGCTTCGGAAATGCGTGAAGGAGTTATCGGGGAGAATTCGGGAGCGCTTTTTATGGCAGATATAGCGTCCGGAACCTCGAAGGGCTCGTCATGGGTGAAGATCGAATCGACCAGCGGACGAATTAACGCCTAGAAATCCTCTCTGTACATAACCACTCAGGGATAAGAAGTGCAGGGTCGGCCCTCGTGAATTCCCGGAAATCGATTGAGAGTTGAAGATTGACCGACGACCTTGCACGGATTTAAGCACTGACCACAAGGTGTCTGGATCTGCTTCCTTCACGTCGGGTCGATTCGGGTGCAAAGAAGGCTTGAGTAGCGATCTCAATCCGGTAAGTGAGATAAATAGCGTTTGGATGTGGCGCGACCCTTCAAAAATTCATGGCAGGGAGAGCGCAGACTTACGCCGACCACATCCCATGGCATAAAGCTCGCGCACAAAATCCAGATGACGAGTTGAATCACAGCTCAGCGACAGCCAGCGTTACATGACTCAGTGACGTGCCTTGTAACGAATCACGATCACCGTGTGGGGTAAATGCGGGGAAATCCGTTCGCTGGTTGATCCGCGAACGTTCCTTTGTATTCAAGTTGAGCCCTGCCTTTCCCTTTTCCCCCATCTCTGCTGGTTAACCAGTCGAGTGTCTACTCTACTAGTCGTCTATTACCAACACTTTAAGCTCCGCATCCTTGCGTTGAGCCCTCTATAACCTATGGCGAGTGGTCCTCCGTGCTTATATTCAGCGACATCGGCTACTAAACGAGATATATTTTCAGCCTGACCCATCCCCTTCTTCGATGCCGCAGCCTCCATTCGATGCACACGGTCACGATACACACTGTAAGAATGCCAATGCACTCCATCGCGAAGCGCTTTTGCAGGCTCTGGGATCCATCATCTCTCCGGTGCGTGTTGCTGAACATGTCGCACATTCGCTCTACTTCTCGCATCATACACCTTGCAGAGTTTCCCGAATCTTTCCCCCTGCTCGTGCACGCTCAGCCCTGATTGACTGAAAATGTACAGAAACGCCCCACCCTGATGTCCGGTCGCTCAACCTCATCCATCGACTCCTCCCGCTCGACCTCCGGCACGGCAAGCCCAGCGCACGGACATCCCGCCTTCCCACATCTCGGCGGCCATACCCATACCCATCTGCAGTCACCTTTGGCCGAGCACGCCCACGTAGCCGACAGCGCGCGCCGGGTCGCCCCCCAGGTCAGCCTGTTGCTCGCTCTCCCGTGCACGCTGACCGTTCCCTGCCTTCCTTGCCAGGACATTCCTTTGCCCGTCAGCCCCGCTCCCTCTACCTCTTCCTCCCCTGCATATCAAGCACTCAATCCGCGCGCCAATGCGAAGATCATCGATTCGCTCAAGAGCAAGAACAGCGCGTGGGATGCCTTGATTCACGGTTCTTTTTCGTGAGATTGGCAGTTTTCTGAGCGTGACTTGGAGATGTACGCACCTCCTCGCGCATATGTATGTTATTTGCAGCGCATACATATTGTATTTATTAGGTTGTATCGAGACTTGTAGTTCCCATGCGAGGCCATAAGACACGATGGATTCTACTGGAGATCACGTATGAGGAACGGATCTCAAAGCGCCGATGAGCATCTGGTTTCAGCCTTCCAGGGTCGTGTTGCGGTACGTGCTAGAGCGATGTTTCAGGTTTAGACCACACTTGGTGATCGTCAAGTCAAAATGAAAGGCTTGTCTCTTTCTCGAAGAATTATTTCAGTGCCAGTAGGTCCACAGGGGCATGCTTGCAAGTTTGACCTCCGGATACGAGGAGCGCTCCCAGATGTGGTGTCCTGGCAATCTTGCCGACGGATCGCTTAGCTTATGTCGATGGCATCACATCTCTCCATCCATCCATCCAATGATCCATCCATCCATCCGGTGATCCGAAAGGAGCTCGACCTCACCGCTCAGGCAGCCCGCTGAGACTCTAGAGCGTGCAAACTACCGGCTACATGATTACCTCTCTCGTCGCCACGGCAAATGTCTCGAGGGCAGCACAATCTTACACACGAGAAGGCGGATATCGAACTGTCTGAGCGACCGGGGTCATCGCGTTCATCGTCGACATGCGACGGCTTTTCTCAGCTACAAACTCGGCAACGTCTTCTCTTCTCCTAAAGCTATGACTAGACGAGCGATGCATCCACTCAGATGGTCGAAGCTGTACAGGACACTAACCCGGGACTGAAGAATGGGATCGAAGCCCGTAGACTGTGGCTTCGTCCTCAAGACTGGGCTGTGCTCAGCGCCATTGTTTGGCCTGCTAGTCATCCACGCTACAGGATGACCTCCGCATCCCGCTCATAACTGGGCTCTCAGATCGCCGCTCGCTCAGTATTTCAGCGCGGAATTGGCTTTCCTGGGCTCCGTGAGAGGTGGATGATCACCAGAAGGGACTTTCCACATGTCTGGCAATTGGAAGTGAAGAAGGAATGGCTTGTCTGCTGGAAGGAAGGGAACGGCATCACGTTGTTCTTGTCGAGGAATAGAACGGCTTATATACATTGAAATTCGACTTGTAATACAGTACCACCAAGATGCAACATGCGAGATACTAGGAAACTGGAAGCAAGAAAACATTTGCATATAGCCAGCCGGCACATACTTATCATCACTGGTCGTCAGGAATCTCCTCGATCCGTGCGGATTCAATGGCTTCGATAACATCCTCGGTTTGCTTCTCCGTCCTCTCTCCCCTGTCGCGCGACAAGAAACCTAACGGATTCGTTGAAACGAACTAGATTTCGAAACAAGGAAAGGTCGCACCCTTCAATTTCTTGTTGTTCGCACGCTCTCGCTCCTTGTCGAGAGCCCTTAGTCGCGCAAGTTCGGTGGTGGCTAAAGGTGCATCTGGCAAGGAAGTTCAGGCGGAGCGAGCAGGAAACGAAGATAAACTCACCCGCAGCGCTCTTATCCCTCAGCTGCTCGAGCAGTTTGATCGCTCGTTCGGTGTACCCTTCTTCGGACAAGGCTTTGGCCTTGCGGAAAATGGCCTTGAAGTTGTTTTCGTTCTTCGCCAGGGCCTGGTAACAAACACATCAGAGCGAACAAGGGGGGCAAGAGCTCGTCCAACTTTGTCAGCAGTCTCTATGGCTCGTTTCCAGTTCCCTCTCTTCAAGTGGCAAGCGCACATATTCGCGTATATCTTCTCAACAATGTTATCTACCTGAAAAACGCGCGTTCAGAACGTGCCAAATCACGCATACGGAGATGAGAATGGCCAGACCTCCGTTCGTTCTTTCGTCTTGTCATCTGGCTTCGAGGGATCGATCGGTGGCGACGGAGACGCCATCCCGATTCCTTCAAGAGCATTCCTAGCAAGATCGTCCATCAGTTGCTGCCGAAACGGGTCGGACGTAGCTCACTTGTCGAGACCGAGTAAATACAAGAGCGCCTGTGGCAGTAGCCATCAACACGGGTCCCCGGACAGATGCGATGCATATTTACCCCGTGGTAAGAGCTTAGAGCTGCACCCAGTTTAGAACCACTTGATGTTGAAGGGTAATGTCTACATAAACGGTGGCTCACCGAGGGGTATGTTGCCCTCTTTGAATGCAAGATCGGCGGCGTCCTTCTTGTCCTTTGCGATCTGAACTTTCTGAGCGGTCGTCAAGTTATCAGCCATATCGGTTATGGGATGAAAACGCGTCAGAGTAAGTGCGAGTGAGTAAAGAGAGTCTAGATCTAGGGTGTGCAATGGTGCGGCGCGTCCTTATTATTGGCAGGCTGTGCTCAACAATGCATCTTTGTTTGGCTGCAGCCTTGATCGCAACACACACTCTCTCTCCGTACTCTGATCACTATGGGTGTTGTCGGACACGTTATCGGCGGGGCCGCATTCGGACTCGCAGCACGATTCTGGCAACTCGGTATCCTCAAGAAGCCCATGCTGTCTAGTACGCCTGCTTGCTGACCACGGAATGCCATCCCATCCGAGACTCAACCGTGCTTCAGACCCCGTTGGCCACCTTGCCAGCACCGTCTTCTTCGCTGGTACGGGCTACTACTGGTGGCAGGGAACGGTGTACATGAAGGGGGTTCTCGAAGAGCAAGAGCATAAAATGCGTTTGCGACGCGACGCGCAGATGCTGATAGAGAATGCAAGTCTGGACAAGGCATTGAACCGATCATCATCGTGCGTAATAAAATGCTAGCTAACTGTGCACTCATGTCTCCATTCCTAGCGAGTGAGTCTAAGTCTCGTGTAGACGGCCGTCGCGGGAAATATGCATCCATTCGGTTATATATTCCACTTCCACCAGCGGTAACATGATGTATACAGTCAATTACCGCAAAACACTGCCTAAATGTGCAAACTGCGCAGGCCACGATGCGGCGACGACTACTAGATAGACGATAAGTAAATCAGGAGCAAGAGTATATGCATCAAGGCAACACTGGGGAAAGCGGATCGAGTTGGGGGACGGGACGGCAGATTCGAGATGGCCAGTCCGTGTGTCGAAGATGAAAGAGGAGAAAACAGCAGCACAAGAACGAAAAACAGGGTGACGTGAGAACGGAGAGCATTTGCGACGCTTCGCTTTTGGTTTCTGTGTGCCGAGATGTGTCAAGGCCATGGTGGTATTCAAGGCCCAGGTAGATGTATTAGATCAAACGGAGCAGGCGGGGCGAGCAGGCGAAGGTCGCGCTAGACCGAGCAGCAATGGCCCGGCCAAAACGGCGACGGTAGACGATAGCAGTGTGCAATGAGAAAACGAATATAGAGGGATATGGTAACAGATTCCGGTTGTTGATACAGAGATGGAGGCAAAAGCAAAGGAGTGTGCGATGGGAGTTACAGCCCGCGGTCGAATATCGGGAAATGATTCCAATGAGTGTGGCGCGCTATGGCGAATGGAAAGATGCTGGACCAGATGAGATCTGGGTGTGAGTCCCCCAGGGGGCCCAGGCCGGTAGTGGTACAATGTTTATACACTGTTACAATCTGTCTTCTTTCGGGCTTGCACGAGAGAGCAGAAGGAATGGCTGCAATTGATCATGGATATCCGGGATTATCGCAGCTGGAAAGCACTGCCCAGACCCGGACCAAAGCGCATTTCATCCGAATCCTCGTGGTCGGCCTCATGCATATCTTCTCCAAGCGGGGCAATGAGACTGCCAAAAGATATACGGCGAGCAGCAGGCAGGCGTTTGGCACGCCGGAGCGTTTTCACGCGTTCGGCGCTTGATGTTGGCGAAGCGAGGATCGGAGCGGCAGACAACAACTGGGCTTGAGGTTCAGCAGCCGGCGTCGCCAGTCGAGGAAGCTCGGGTCCGAACACATGTATGCCTCGTTTCACGGTGGCGGTAGACCGAACTCGAGTGTCCGACTGCTGCTTTTGGACTGATGCTCTTGAACTGGCCTTGGCCTCTGACATGGCCGGTGAACTCGGTGCCGGCGATGGTGAGAGTGGTGGTTCGGTTCCGCCGGACTTTCTGACTCTCGCTCGTTTAGCACGCCGACTGCGCATCTTTTCCTCGTCGTCGGAAGAAGGATCGGGGATACTGAGATCATGAAACCCATGTTCATGAACACTGGGCAATTGATCCCGTGCTTCTTGAGCAAGAGCGCCGTAAGAGGGCGCGCGTTTAACAGCAGGCCTGAACCGTGATTCCACCGGTACAGGGGAGCAGAACGACTCAGAACGACGGACTCGCTGCACGCGAGGGTCAGCAGCAACAGCAGAAAACCCGCTACTGACGCTCATTCTCGACGTCGAAGTAGTCGAATTGGTAGTGCTGGAGATAGACATGATGGAGGCAGAGCGCCGCAGCAAAGGCTGTCTCGGAGCAGATACGGAGGCAAGAGATGATAGGGTAGATGTGCTTGGGGTCGAAGGGCTGATCAAGGACGGGACGTGATCGGCCCTGGGCGGGGAAGATGAACGTGAGTTCATCTGACTCCGGGAATAAGGATGATAGGATGTGTTGGGGATGAAACGATCCGCCTTCTGAAGTCGTTTTGAAAGCCTGACAGCACGCCCTGTAAGTACAAGAAGATAGAATTAGATTGAAATGACTGACCGACCGATGCTGTCATTGTCCTGGACATCCGAGGCATTAAGAAAGTCCATACTCGACTGCCGGTAGAGCGGTCGTCGTGAACCAGACCCGCGATCTTCCTTGCCGATATTGGTGGTCGGCTGCAGAACATCCCCTTGGGGGAAAGAACCATGCGCAACCTCCGATGCAGGCTCTTCGGGGATCGACTTGCGGGGTTTACTATCTTCCTCGGCGATGGTTCGCGCTAACTCTATGAGCTTGACACGCGTGGCTCGCAAGGAATGGGGCCAATCCTCCCCCTTCGCCTGTGATACACCTCTGGCAATCTTGTCGAGAAGATTGGAGGGGGGTATAGGTCCATTGAAAGGTGTCATGAGGTGAGGGGGAAGGGCATCCAACGTCTAAGAGGAGGCATAAATGACTAGGGCAGGTCGTTGAAGGATACAGAAACGCACCCTTCTTAATAATAAGACCTGGTCCGCTTTCCATTCGTAGTCACGGTCCTCGGATAGATCCTGACTTGAGCTGTTCCAACTGTTCCAGCTGTCGGTACTTTTCCGGTTCGTGTTGGTGGAAAAAGCCAGAGAAGAACAGGTTGGGGAACTTCGTGGAGTGTGCGGCGAAGGGACTAAAGACAGATGAGACCGTCGGCGCGGAAGTGCCGGATGAGGGAGGACGATGGAGAGGGGAGTAAGACCGGAAGTACGGCGAGACTGCATAGAGAGATGAGAGATGAAAGAACGAAGGTGTAGATTGCTAGCTTGCTGCTAGCGGTCGCGACGGGTGGAAGAGAGGAAATAGTCGTGTGTGAAGGATGGCGGGCAAAACCGAGGGCAAAACCGAGGGCAAAACCGAGGGCGAAGTGGTGGGTGGAGGTAACAGAACCGTCGCGCACGTTATAGGGCTTGACGGTATGAGAGAAGCCACGATCGCGGAGTTTCAATTAGTTCTTATCGCGTACATATACACAAACATGATGCAAGTTGTTCGATCCGACAGTCCGCCACCGTCTCTCGCTCCCGTTCACTCCTGTCAATGTGTGTTTCTTGTGCTGCTCTTCTTCGCCGTTCTATGCGCCGCTATTCTGTCAAACGAAACTCACTGCCCCTCTCGCTCTTCATTATTCCAGCGTCCAAGCGGCATGCCTCATGTCGTGCCTCGTGTTCTCGCCTGATAATGTGACAGTCACACCATTTCTAGATCCTCAGCCTTTGTTCTGATCTCGTTGCTCCAAGCGCAAAAAGCTCGAGGTTCGAGCTCTCCGAGCACCTCCCCGGAAAAGCTGAAAGGGAAGTCGATGCCTGCACGTGTAAGATGCCACCTGTGCAGTACTTGCGCCATGGAACTATTCTTTCGCGGAGACCTTTTGCGGAGCTCTCTTACGCAAGTTGATAACCAAAACCTTACCGACGTTCTCCCAGTCTCTCCTCGGCTATTAGCAAAGCGCCGCGATCTTTGCGAGGCACCGGAGATGATTGGCGACTTCCCCGCCGTCTCTGCAAATTGAAATGTTTTCCCCCAATTGAAAATCTGGCGATGCGGATCGTGCTGTGTCCTGCTGTGTCCACGTACGTGCGGGCGTGTATCTTCGGTCCGGTCATATTCATGGTTTGGATCATGTACATAAGCGCCTCGTGTTGTCAGGGAAAATCAGTCCGGTCTCCGCAGCTTGTACATAATAAACTGGACTACCCAACAAGGATTCCAATGACAGCTCGATCCAGTGTGCTGTGTATGGTGCACATGACCTAGTCATTACCACTTTTGTATAGTGTGTGAACTTTTTTTTGTGAAGAGATTTTTCTTAGTTGTCTTACAGAAAGGCTTAGTTTTAGATGTAGAATAGAACCTTAAGACAGATTATCCATTGACTCAAAACTGACAGAGTTATGTGATGGAAACCTCGATCGATTCCGGTTGTGTCACATGATTGATGACGTGTCTACTGCTATGCATCGAATTGAGCTGCAAGCGTCTCAGGGACATGTCTATGAGACTTATATTTATGAGAAGAGAACTCCTTCACCCTCTTCTCTTGAGTTTCTGAGCCTTCTTTCCTTTTGCCATGGATGATGGTAATGCAGAAAAGATGTGTACACATAAATCCGGCACTTGGCCCGGACATTTGGGGTTAGGGTTTACTCAAGGTCAAAATCAAGGCCCGATTCCGGTCCTGTCACAAAGTGGCAGTGACTAGGTCATGTGCACCATAGCCTATCAGTGGATGGACTGATCCCGGGTCCCTGACTTCAATGAATCCCTTCTGAGCTCTTTAAGGAGTCTGAGCAGCAGAATCGCGATTCATCTTTCGAGCTTGTACGACTGGCAGTGATACTCGATGCAGATTGACTCTCAGAGCATGCTGATTTCAGATCTGGACTGGATTCACTCCGGACCGAGAGTCCAAAGAATCAGTGCTTCTTGGCCTGTCCCGTGATCGTTTCGTCAAACGCGTCATGTCACATCACGCTTTGTTGCCCTCTTGCAGTTCGAGGAAGCTACAGCCGGCGTGTTGCAGTCGCGAACTAGGATGTCGCTCGTGCCCGCTGAACTAGATCGACCGCGCGTCACAGTGAAGCTTCTTGGAAAGTTCTATCCTGTCGTAAAAACTCTTCATTGTTACCTGCAAGATCTTGTCGACCTCGGATCGACTGAACGGTCATACGCACCTGGACCTGCGGATACGCCGGCTTACTTTCACTTGCTGAATCAGTGTCTCGTGGGGGATTCGAATACAGATGGAGCTTTGAAGCGCGTTGGTTTCGCACCACCCATGTCGACCATGCGTGAAGTGTGTATCCCTTTCCACATAGAGGATCTATATCACGAACTCATGAGTGACAGACCATCGAGTTCACAGTGAAGAAAATCCTTTCTTCGAACAGTGGACGAGATAACGTGCTCTCACAGGGTTATAGCTTCGTGAGCCCATGAACTATCTATGGCCAGTCCAGTGATAACCTCCCCAAAGAACAAGCACGCTGATGGGTTATACAATCGCCAAGTCAACACGAATGTCATCGCGTTGTGCTCAGATGAATGGGAAACGCTCCATTCACGGTGAGTCTGCCTCTATCCCTCACGTCCGCGAGAACTAATCACAGGTACCCGATAGCATCGGCACCGACGCGATGGTCCACCTGCTGGCAAACTCGAGCTTTTTCTTCGCTCTTCCGAACGACTGTTTTTGTCAATTATCCGGGACACCGATTGCATACATCCATCTCGACGACCCTCATCTATACAACGGTGAATCAACGTCTACTAGTCGAGTGCCCAAGCGCAAGCTGCTCGGATTGAGCGAAGGACCTCGCAAGCGAATGAAGCTGGACAACGGCAATTCGGCTGCTCGAGGTGCCCCAGATGTCAAATTGCATCGGTATGTGACTCCACGTGCTCTCGGTGCCCATTTTAAAAGGATAGACCGAGTCCTTCACAAGTTCTCCTCGCTCGATCCAAACTATTTTACGCTCGGCCTAGCATCCACTCGCATCGAAATGCCCGGGAACTAATCGCAGGCCTCCCTTCGAAACGTTTGCGCGCTAACAATGCCATCTTGCGGAAAGCTCATGCACTCATAGATGTGCTCAATCGCCTCAACGGGCCGAAAAGCAACCGCATAACAGACAGTGTCGGCCCTGTCAAGCTTATGGAACAAGCAAGACATCTTTCCAAATATGTATTCCCGCGTCAATATGGACTTGCGAACGTGTTTCGCTTCGAGTTGCCGAGAAGAGAGGGGTTCAGGCTGCCTGATTTCGGGGATAGAGAAGATGAGATTCGGGTGAGCATGGATGGGTTCAAGAAACTCCTGAGCATGCCGGTGACGTATTTCCAGCGCCTGGGACAATTCAAGACACCCAAACGTCTCAAAGACGCAGTACCCATGCTAGAGAAGATCCTTTGGCGGCATGGCAAATGTAGTTACTCGAGATTGCGCGACCTCACTTGTCCAACGAAGGTTAGTTCTACAAACTTGCAAGGCTGACCCGGGCTTACTTTCGCCAAGACAGGTCAGCTGAGAAAGTCGGATCTAGACAGCAGCGTAATTCTGGCACGTTTCCCACAAAAAAGTGCTTGCCTTCACCTCATCGTTAGTCCAGGAACTCATCTCCGAGCATCCGTCATCAAACCCTCGAACACAGCCACCTCCTATCGATCACTCACTCGACTCGGAGGGAAACAGCATCCAACCCAATGGCTTAACGCAGGCTGCATTCCACGCCAAGAACAAACCGCGGTTCGTAGAGTACTCGTGCAGCTACAACGAGGTTCTACTTATACTCGCCACGCACGCGGATGCCTGACTAATGTGATAGGTATATCGTTATGTTATTCTCGTCTCGAAAGCAGTGATACCCAAAACTTTTTGGGGCACGGAAGAGAATTTCAAGCATCTTTGTCGCCGTGCGCACTACTTGCTCCAGTTGTGCGACTCTGACATCCATATCCCCAGATGTCAAACGTTTCATCGCATGTCGCCGTTACGAGAGTCTGTCATTGCACGGAATAGTGCAAGGGTTCAGCACGTCAGCATGCGACTGGTTGATGCCCCCTGGCTCTGGCACTCAACAGAAGCGTGTCCCGGTCACTGATGCGCTCAAACGACGCCAGCTTCTGGAAGATTTTCTCTTCTGGTATTTCGACTCGTTCTTGCTGCCGTTGCTCAGGGTCGGTGTGATCTCCCGTCCTTGAATCCCGTCTAATCCCGGCTCCAGACCACGTTCTATGTGACTGAATCGTCCGCACTTCGTAATCAGATTTTGTATTTCCGGCACGATGATTGGGAGTTTCTCTGTGCTCCGCTTATCGACCATTTGGCCGGGGGGACGTTTCAAAAGATCCCCGTGGTGCGTGCATCTATGTTTCCCGCTTCTTGTGCTGATGCCAGCATCAGGATGAAGCAAAACAGATGTTGCGTCAGCGCAAGCTGGGCTTCTCATTCATTCGTCTGCTTCCCAAGGAAACTGGTGTTCGTCCCATCGCCAATCTGAAGCGGAAAGGATCTGCGCAGGATGTCGGTTCTTTCCCTGCGTTCTTTAGGGAGCGGAGCGCGCTGACCTCGCATAGGGACGATCCATCAATCAAATTCTGCACGCTGCGTTCAAGATCTTGAGTTACGAAAGAGATCATCGACCACATTTGGTTGGAGCCTCGGTGTTCAACGTGGACCATGTTTACGTCCGCCTCAAGACGTTCAAGCAAGGGCTGCTACAAGGCAATGCCGGACGTCTGTATGTCGATCTGCCAGTTACGTTTCGAGCGCTGACATGCCACAGCCCAAAGCTGTACTTTGTCAAGGTGGACGTCCAAGCGTGTTTTGATACCATCCCGCAGAGGAAGCTGCTCGAGATCCTGCGGAACATCTTATCCGAAGACAAGTATCTCATCCACAGATATGCCAAAGTCGCTCCGGAAGTGGGAAACGTCAAACGTACATACATGCAGACTGCTGTTCCCGGCTCCGGTGAGTCGTTTTGGTTGGCGTGCTTGTCACTCGTGGTTGAGATGCCGACAAGAGTACCCGCATTTCCTGCAAACTGCCGCCAAATTAGCAAGTGTCTTGCACAATACCATTTTCGTAGACCAAGTCAGGTACTCTCAAACTCAGCGGCAAGAAATCTTGCACCTTCTCGAAGAGCATATCGAGGAGAATATGGTCAAAGTATGAAGTTCGACGCCATTCACCACACCTTATTTACCGATTTCCTGCACAGATCGGGAGTGACTACTATCGACAGACTGTTGGAATCCCCCAAGGATCGATCTTGTCCACCTTGTTATGCTGCTTCTTCTACGGAGATCTGGAAGGAAAGGTTCACGCATTTAGCCAGGATGAACGAAGTGTGCGTGAATTTGTTTATTGCCTGATCCTCGCCCTGCCAATGTACGTGAACAGACTTTGCTGAGGCAAACGGACGACTATCTGTTTATCACGGCCGATTTCGGCAAGGCGAGGCGGTTCCTGGATGTGATGAATCGAGGTGATTCACCTCAATCTCTAGTGCTGAGCATTGTTAAAAGAAATGAAGGGCATGCTGAATACGGATGCTTCATCTCCCAAGACAAAACGCTGACAAATTTCGACTACGACGGACATCTCAACTCGATTCCATTGGCAAAAGGTGTGTGTGTATGTGGCTTGAGATTTTGTCCGTGTTCCAACGATTCTTTGCAGGCTTTCCTTGGTGTGGCTATGTCATGGACACTCGAGACCTCTCGGTTTCCGTCGAATACAGCCGGTACCACGATTCTGGTGCGTCGTGCACATCCAGTGTCCGCCGCAAACTCATTGGCTTTGTGCTAGATTTGAAAGGGACATTGACTGTGACCCGGGGACGGCGACCTGGCACTGCATTCAAGCACAAGATGCTTCTGTGAGCCGGAGCCGGCTGCATTCATGTACCCACTCATCAAGCTTTTAGGCTCGCGAAAGCTCGCACTCATGTCATCTTCAATGACTCGACGCTGAACAGTCAAACGGCGGTCCTAACTAATATCTACCAGAACTTTCTACTCTGTGCGCTGAAGATGAACTCGTATCTGAGCGAATGGGGAATCGATGTGCGGAGGCACACGCCCTTCATCTGGAGTGAGTTTGCGCTTGTTGTGGGAATGCATGCTGATCTGCGCAGCAACGATCCAGCAGATGGTGTTCTACTCGTGGGCTGCCACCCGGAACAAGTCGACCACGCAATTCGCAGCGGCACATGGCGCACGGTGCGTGACACAGAAGGCAGCGGCAACCTGGTTTGTGGTC